CCGTGGGAGGCTTTTGGTTTGGTGTTTGAACCCTTTGAATGTAGCTCGAGCTTGGTATTTATAGGAAGAGCTCTGGAGGAGAAATCGAGGCTGAAAATCTGCATGGTGGAGCCTGATTAGAGCAAGTGAATAGTCCAATCGACATTTGGGATCGTGAAGGATGGTGGTGTGACCCCATAAATCCCGGTAAATCTCGGCCGCCTCCCTGATCGTGTGTTCTGTGCCCCTGGCCATGGGAACGCATTTAATGCCCTGGTCTGGTGGTTGGTGATCTGACCTTAAGTTGTAAGAATATTTGTATGAATGTTTGCGCCTAACCACTCTGATTTCTATCACCAAATCCTGACTTTAGTCACTTCCCTTCTTCCCTCGTGGATTAAATGCCCTTTTGCGGCTAGTGGGTTTGCTAGTCAGAGGCGTTACTTCATTAAATGAAGCGTGAGACCCTGTTGCCACGTGGCGATTTAACTTTAATATCTTCGGCCGTGTCTCTTTCGTCCTTCGGCTTCGACCTGTAATACCGCGGTCGCGAGGCCGAGATGATTATGCCTTCGCAGCTTTCCTTTTGTGTTTAGGAGGGCAAATGCCTAACGAACCGCCGCATTCTCAGTTCATGGGCCGGTGCTAGGGCCGAGGGAGGTCCTTTCGGCCATTTTACGGCCGAGATTTATTAGGCACAAACAATATTACTCCCCCATGCCCCTTCTCCATCTACAGCTCCCTTTCCTCCTACTTCCCATTCTTCTCACCCATTCGATCCTTCTTCCCCCTCCCCACCCAGTCCCCTCAACAACCACCTCATGATTACGCTGCCACTAAACACCCTGTTTCCTCTCCCCTTGAACCTACACGTGTCTCTCAAGCTATCAAAGATCCTCTTTGGCGTGCTGCCATGTCTGATGAATTTAGTGCTCTCCTTCGTAATGGCACTTAGGAGCTTGTTCCTTCCCAATCCACGCACAAGCTCATTGGGTGTAAGTAGGTGTTCCATATCAAACGACACCCTGATGGTAGTATTGATCGCTACAAGGCACGCTTTGTTACTAAGGGCTTTCATTAGCACCCTGGCGTGGATTTCTCCAACACCTTCAGCCTCGTCGTCAAATCCACTATCATCTGTGTTGTTCTTCATTTGGCTCTCACTCATGGCTAGCCCATACGTCAATTATACGTCAATTATATGTCAATAATGCAATCCTTAAAGGATCGCTTTCTGAGGATGTTTATATGTCACAACCCCCTGAGTTTAGTGACCCCAATCTTCCTACACATGTTTGTAAACTTCGCAAGGCCTTGTATGGCCTCAAGCAAGCACCCTGCTCGTGGTACGAAGAATTGAGCACATTCTTGCTCACTAAAGGATTTGTCAATGTTATCACAAATGCATCTCTATTTAATTTTTGCAATGGTGGTGATATAATTTATTTTCTTGTTTATGTTGAAGATCTTATTATTACAGACAACAATATGGGCATCATCAATCAGTTCATCCACACTTTAGCTCATCAGTTCTCCGTCAAGGATTTGGGGTTTCTTTACTTCTTTCTTAGTGTTGAAGTTCACCATACTAAAGATGGTTTATTTCTTTCTCAACAGAGGTATATTCATGATCTCCTTGTCAAAGCCAAGATGGAAGGCGCCAAAGACATTAGTACCCCACTATCTACCGCTAATTCCTTAGTTCTCTCTGATGGCTCTTCCTTCACAGATGTCACTGTCTTTCGTCAACTCGTGGTGGCCTCCAGTACCTCAGCCTCACTCGCCCAAACATCTCCTTTGTGGTCAACAAGCTCTCGTAATTCATGCATTGCCCGACTGCGTCTCATTTGCAGGCTTTGAAATGCCTCCTTCCCTACTTGAAGGCCCCGTTTGGTAGGCTGGCTTGGACTGGTTAGGATGGGCTTTGAAGCATTGGATTGGGTTAGCTTGGACTGGTTAGGTTTTGAATCCAGTCCTGTTCATTTTTTGCACCAAACAACAGATTAAAATTGGCTTTTTTGTATTTAATAAATCAAGATTTTATTTTATTTTATTTATTAACAATAATTCCAACTTTTTGACCCCAACAGAAGAAAAACCTCAAATTTTTGCAAAAAGCCTAGACCCAGATGAAAAATCCTAATCAAACCAAGAAGATAACTCTCAAACCCAAAATCAAACTCATATACAAACTGAAAATTCGATAATATATTTTTCAAATTCAATAAAACACAAACTGAAAAACAACATTCACAGCACAAAAGAAGAAGAATGAATGATGCAAATTCTGGAATCCCAATACCAGATCTGAAAGATATTCAATGAAAAGTGAAATTAAACCCAAAAATAAAAACAAAATCACAGCACTCAACATCGTCAACACAAATTCAAAAAAAATATTAAGAGAGAGCCAAATAAACCATAACAAAGAATCTGTTTAAAAAAAAAAAAAACCAGAAGAGAAAGGACATGAGAGAAGAAGAGAGATGAGAGAAGAAGAGAGATGAGAGATGAGAGATGAGAGAGGAGAGAATATAGCAAAGACGACGCAGAGGAGAGAAGAGGGAGACGAAGAGAAGAGAAGACAAAAGCTCGTCAGTCTTCTAAACCCACCTCTCAGCGTGGGTTTTCAAATCCAGCATATGCTGGACTGGTATCCTATATAAAAATTTGAGTGATATCCAGTCCATGATTCTTTTAAGCCCACCAAACAACAGACTGGACCCATGTCTGTTTTAATTGAATTTGTCCAATCCAATCCAGCCTACCAAACGGGCCCTAATTTCTTTCAAGATTTCCCGCATTTCATTCAGACGTTGTATTGCTAATTCCATCATCTTTGCATTTAAAGAATTAA